GGAAATTCTAAGTGCATTACTATTAGCATACACTATTAAATGAGGAGCAACACACATTTCTGTAACTTCTAAGCAAAGAGGCAAAATCAATTTTCCTCAAGTATTTCTCATAGGCCTTCAGTCTTAGGGAATGACCTAAATTTTCTCAGTCCATCAATACAGTTACCCTAATGGTAAATGAAATTAGGATGTTTGGGGCTGGAGGAGTTTTTAGAGATCAATTAGCTCAATATCCATATTTACTGATGAGAAACCTGAGAACCAAACAAATGAAATGACTTGTCCTTCTTTGCTGATTGCTCATTAGCCACATATCTTGTGCCTTCCAGGCCATCTGCTCTCTCAGACACCCTCACTCTTTCTTCCTTAAGAGAGATTGATCAAATGTAGGCACAACTCACTGGTTTTAAGCTGGGCAGAGGTAGAGAATGTGTTTTCCTAGTAGAACTGTTTCACCTAGCAGCCCGGATAAGACTGGTGTGTTTGGGTAGAGACCTGAGGGGCACTTAGCCACTGTGGCTCCACCATGTTCTGAAGGCTTTTTGGCATCGCATCAAGGTGCCAACCCCATTTATTCTTTAAGGTTATGGGCAAGGCCCTTTGGCCCCATTTGGCTGTGACTGTAGAATCCCCCTGAGTTTTAAATTTAGGGGTAGGAGAGTAAGGTATCCTTGGTGGTGACCTGTTTTCAGTTTTAGCTGTTTAAGATGACTCAATTCAGTCAGGTTCTGTTTTTATCTTCTCCTTCTCTCTCCTTCACTGAGCCTGAATGAGAAGATTGCCTTCTGTACACCTACCATAAGTATTTCATGGTGCAAAACTGCTATTGAAAAAGGGTATTTCTCCTTTTTCATTTATATATAAGCCTAAATATATTAATTATAACAAATTAATAATTATATGCTACATTAACATGAAAAATTAATATGCAATAAAAAACAATGCATCAATATAGCATATACCAATATACATGATTTGTTGTATCCCAGAGAAGATATCTTCTCTATTTGGTGAATAGACCTGGGTTAGATTACACTGCCATGACAGATTTTTTTTCCCCCATATGAGATAAGATCCATGCCAGATGTTCGTACCGAATGCATTTACTGCATATACTGTCTGGTGCAATTCCTTGGTAGCACTTTCCCTGGCATATAGTACTTTTCCTGGTATATGGATCAGACCTTAAGAGCAGTCATTAGAGTTAAAATCCAACAGGTATGCTTTATTTTTTATTTTTGAGTTTCTTTCTGTTGCTAAGAAATGAGAGCTAGGTGTAAGAAAGCTTAGACTATGAGCATTTCCTTGGGGTAGAGGGGTTCATGTTTTTTTGAGTGCCCTGATGGACAGCTTAGTTTTTTATTTGGCATGTTTTGGATCTGTTCTGTTTTCTTTTGAAAAATTAAATTACCAGGGTAGTATTTTATCAACAAGAGATTTAAAACAATTCCTTTTGTTCTTGAATCAAGAAGCATTAATGATTTTTCTCTATATCTAAGTATTTTTATCCCATATGTATATCAGATGAATGTCCATTCATATGAAACAAAAATGAAGGTTTTTATTGGAATTTTTGCTTCTAGACTTGCTTATTTTTCTAAAATTACCAAAGGGCTTTATATTTATTTATAAAATATCTAGAACCTTAAGATCACCACCTATTTTCATGCACTTTTGGTTTTAAACCCTGCTTTGCCAGAATAGGGGATGGGAACATCAGATATGGAGAATAGCAAATTGAAAATATTATTATTATTGGAAATCAGGAATGAGTGGTGTTTTAGTGAGGAAGTACAGATGGAGGTATAGGGGAGAAGGAAGCAGACACACTACATACCTAAAATAATATATATCACCTATATTATGATGTGAGATAGATTTCTAAAATATTCTGTGACAAGGTTTAGCAAGAACCCTATAACAGTAGTGGTGGTAGTGGTGGTGGTGGTGATTATTATTATTCCCATTACTGGGAATTGAATCCAGGGGTGCTCTACCACTGAGTCACATCTGCAGCTCTTTTTATTTTATTTTATTTTTTTATTTTGAGACAGGGTCTTGCTCAGTTCCCGAGGCTGGCCTTGAATTTGCCATCCTCCTGCCTCAACCTTCCAAGTAGCTGGGATTACAGGCGTGTGCCAATGCATTTTTTAAAAAATGAATTTCCCCATCAATTGATGGTAATATATAGAAAAACAGAAGTGTTGTTTGCAGGTCACTGTTATGATGTCAGTGATGATGGAAGCAGGGCAAACTCTCCTGACTGTAACATGAATCAGAATCTTGGCAATGTCTTCTATAATTTATTAGTTTTTAAAAGGGAGTGCTTTGCTTATGAAGCTTCAGGGAAACAAGCACAATAAAACATACAATTAATTAAAATCTTTAGAACAACCAGCAGCAACATTAATAAAACATTACCTTTTAAAGCACATAAGAATTGCAGCTTATTCTCCCATCTCAGTAGGGGGGAAAACAGAATAAAAGTCTGTCTTTCATCATTGTCAATAAACTGAGTTTATTGGACTTGTGCTGGTAGATTTTCAAAGAATAGGCTCTTAGCCAGTGTCCCACTACTCCCTACATAAAACATCTGGGATAGTAAAAACAATTGCCGGCCTTTATTTAGCACTTACTTCACTTATGTGTTCTTATTTAATCCTCACAAGAACTTTGCAGAGTAGATGCTAGTGTTACCATTGTATAGATGAGAAAGCAGAGACTCAACCAAGTTATTGAAATGCTTCTCAAAGTGTCATCCAGCTTGGACCAGCAGCACCAGAAGGAGCTTGCTTATTAGAAAGGCAAACTTATAGCCTCTCTAACAATCAAGAAATTCTGAATCAATTTCTAGAGGTAGAGACCTGCAGCCTGTTTTTTAAGTTAAAGTCTCCAGGTGATTCTTACATGCTAAAGTTTTAAATAATATAAGATATAATGCTATAGTAGAGTTTGGGACCTGCTATATTGGATTTTACTATTCACAGGGGACATCTCTGAGTTGCCTTCTAAGCTGTGCTCTCCTTCAAACCTGCTATAGGTTTAGCTCGTCTCTTTTTCCATCTTTAGGCCCTGCCTTCCAAATAACTGCTCACTCTAGTGGGTGTGTGTAAGAAGAAACAATTTACATAGGAAAATTCTTTTAAAATCTTTCTCAAGGGATCCATCTAGGTCTTGTCTCTTTCCCATTTATCACTGTGTCCCCTTCCAGATGGCTCTTTTGAAGTGAGATATGACTAGTTTCTGGTCAGGTCTTGTGAAAGCCCCCGAAGTTGTTTGTGGTCTCTGCTGTGTTTACTCCTGTTTATGCACAAAGACAATCTGGTGGTAGATGTAGGTGCTAAGCCAGTTGTTACTGCACTTACAGAACACATTCTGGAATTCTGATACTGTATGATACTGAATGGTCAAGTGTGCACACAAATTATAGCACTTGGTTGGATGTCCTGGTTTTACCATTTACTGGTTACATGATCTGTGTATGTTATCTGACTTCTCTGAGTTGTGGTTTTCCTAACTAAAAAAAACAGAGATGGTGATGTCATGTGGATTAGATTTGGTTCTTTGAGAATACTTTGAAAACCGTTGGGTGCTATACAAATGTGAAGTAATGTTCTGGAATGTACTGAAGAACAGCTTCTGAGGTTGGGTATACCAAGACATTTGGGGATAGACATGAGTTTCCTTCCAAGGATGGTGACTGTGATAGTCAAATGAAAGTTTCCATAGAAGAGAGAAGCATATTGTGTGTTTTTGGAGGACTTCAGTCTTTGGACTCACCCAGACCCAGCTGAGAACACATTAACTGATCTTCTCTCCACTTTATCTGTAACATAGATGTTAGAAGACCTAATTGTAAAAGTTATTGTTAGGAAAGAAGTTGAAGCAAAAGAATTTGGATTCAGTGGTATATCAATGTGATTTAATGCTGTAAGATTGGATGTAGTCATGATGGAAGGAATGTGGAGAACATGATAGGGCTTGGAGAGTACTGTATGAGAAGTTATGACCCCCAGGGCCATTGTGCTGACTCCTCATAGTGCAACTGTGTCTCTGGAAGGCTGACTTGTTCTAGCCTCAGCTCCACACCTAACCCTCCTCGTAGAATAAGAAGCTACTGAGAATTTGCCTAAGAAAGCACTTCAATAACTTAATTGTAGAGTTCCATAGGCCCAAATAACTATAAGTGGGTTGTGGTTCAGGCTTATTAAAAGTGAATCTGTATGCAGTAAGCATGTGTATACATGTTGGTGGGGAAGGGTGGGCAGTATGAAGAACACGTTCCTTTGGAATGGGTAACTGTTAGTTGGCTCAATGGATTATTTCCTTTGGAAATGTGAATCTGGGGTTACCTAGTCATTCTACTTTTGAAGAGAAGCCACAATTCTAGAATTATGTATTTATTTATTTGGTGATATTTTCAAATTTCTTTCTTTTCTTTTTTTTTTTTTAATATAGTTTGAAAACAGTGGAAAGTTTTTCTGTGGCTCAGGTAACACATCTGTGGGCCAGATTTGGTTGTCGGTTGCGTACTAGTGGCCTCTGCTGCAGAGTGTTCTATAAACATGACCTGTTATTATTGGATCTCCTGGAATTTATAATAACCTCCCAGGAGCCTTTATGTTGGGACCCTTCTAAGAATACATCTGTGTTTTCTTTTCTGCCCTCCAACCAGCCCCCACCTCACCCTGACATATACCAGGCCTGTTTTGACATAACTCCAGGGACTCTAAATGTGTGCCACATAATTTGGAGAGATTCTGATTGAGGTGTGCAGGCAGCCTGGGGAACTATATCTCCTTAGATGGGAGATTTGAGAAAGTGGCATCATGGCTTTTACCTCTCCTAAAAGATTAAGATATAGATTGTCTTTAATTGAACAGCATATTAGCTTCTTTTCTGAATCCCTGGGATAAAAAGGACCTATCGTATATCTGTAGGATATATGGATCTTTCTTAAGAAATAGTTTTTAATTGCATTTTTAAATTTTGTGTTACAGAAAAAAGAGTTTGATGTGGACACCCTCAGTAAATCAGAGCTGCGGATGCTGCTGAGTGTGATGGAAGGGGAGCTGGAGGCCAGAGACCTCGTCATTGAGGCCCTGCGGGTAAGAACATTCTGGGGCAAGGTCTCCTTGTGTATCATTCTTTTCTCAAAGGGCCACTAGCAGAGCTGTTTTTAATTTTTAAATCAAATATATTTGAAATGTTCCATCAGGATAAAATGTGCCCCTCACTCTGGACACCAACCCTTTATAAGCTTGTAAACTTTATAAGCCAACAAACACTAAAGTCAAATGGCTCTTTACATGTTGGGGACTGAGAATAAACTGTTGACTATGTAAGGCTTGAAAAGTCAGTTGTATTATTCCAGCATTTTTGTTGTTGTTGTTGTTGTTTCACATACTTATTTGGTTAAAGACATATTTTTAGAAGACTGGTAATTTAGTTTCTTGCATTGGATATGTTGGCAGTGAGGAAAAATAGTCATTTATATAAAAAAAAAGTTGCTGATACTAGATCTTTTTTCTTCCTATATAAATGACAAATGATTTTTTTATTTTCAGAAATTTAGTGTTTAAAAAGTCTATAAATATTTACATAAATATGTAAATACTTATATCTTTAAATAGGTGATTATTTTTATCTGATCTTACAGTAATTTTAAAACTATTTCCATAGTATTGCAAAGAATATGTTACATGTCTTAATTTTTCTTTTTGCCTTCAGTATATTTTCACAGAATTGAAGTTGATACAGTAGATGTATGATGACCCCTCAATTTGGTGTCAGAAAAAAGTGGGGAGTATATTTGTACCATCTGCAGACCAATATTGAGCTGAAGGTGTTGCTTTTTGAATAAGTTTAAATAGATATTTGCAGTTTTGTTATGAGATATGACCATCCTGTTCCACATTAGGAACATATTATTCTGTTTTTTGTTTGTTTGTTTGTTTTTTAGTATTTTTTTCAGATGTTGATGAACCTTTATTTATTTATTTATCTATCTATTTATTTATTTATACATGGCACTAAGAATTGAACCCAGTGCCTCGCACATGCTGGGCAAGTACTCTACCACTGAGCTACAACCCTAGCCCCAGGAACATACATATTCTTGAATGAACTTTTGGGAGAATTGCTGAGGCAGTACATCACTGAGATGTGTGAATTTCAGCTCAAGGACAGGATAAGGGCACAGTCACCAGCTAAGGCAAATAGCATAGCCTCTTAAGACCAAACAGAAGTGAAGAGTTCCACTTCCACCTTAGGGATTTTTCTAATCCTTTCTGTTTACATGTTAAAGGGGTCAGCGTTGCACACAAAACGTTTGAAAATTTAGTGAAGTCTGTTTTTTTATGTTGCCTTAGAAACCATATCTATTTCTATTTTTAATTTTTTTGCATTATTATTTAATTTCTTTGAATTATCAAATGTAGGAGTAGAGATAAAGGCTTGATAGTGACTTCCAAAGATAACATTTTTCATAGAATCAAGGAATGTCAGAATTACAAGAAGCCTCACTTGATATCATAGACTAGAGGTTTGCATCCCTATCAGATCTTGTGTCTCATTTTTTTATAAAATATTATTTACTATGCTTCCCTGAAATTTATGGATAATTGTATGTGTAAGTGAATTATACTAAAAATTAAACCAATACGTGACACAATATACTATGATATAAAGAAAATAGGAAATTAATTATAATTGGATGTATTTCCAACATATACACTAAAGTATAACTATACTGGAAGGCATGAAAAAGTAGATGGCCTTTTGATCTATGTATACACTAGTTGTAAAAGAATTCTGATCCTAGTGTGCCATAACATTGACTCAGATGCAGTGAGGTGACTTTTTAAATCAGAGAATGACGTTAGGTAAAGTTTAGCAAAAGTGTACATTTATATAGGAGTTGAAACCCTGGAAGATTCAGTTTGTTAAAACAACTTGTTAAGGTACATGGAATTACTCTCCTGGCTTGAATGTGTGTACTGAAGGTTCTAATAAAAGGAATGTGTGGAGGAACATTTCAAAGTTTGGGGGGACCTAGGACAGTTTCTGGATCAGTGCCCAACCCTTCTCCCTACCCCATAAGGGCCAATTACTGTGAAAACTAAACATGTTCTTGCTTGTATCCATGGCACCTTGGAGGGCACTTGTAGAGCACTGGCTAAGACCAGACTCCTTTGTTTATAGATTAAAACCAACCAAACAAAAAGGAAGCCCAAAGAGATGTTGATCTGTCTAAGATCACAATGTGCTGTGCATGGGAATCTTCTAGGTTCATTTTCACACAACCTCCCTTGGGGAACTCAGTGTATATGGAGATTTTCAAAAACTTTCTTTTTCTTTAATTATGATGATATGTTTACATATTTATGACCCTGTTTTTAAGAATAGGTAATAATGTCATCTTCATATACCAGTGGTAGCCAGCATAGACCCTCTGTGGTGATTTACTGATTGACTCTTTATTCCCTGGAGCATTCACAGTAACTACTGAAATATTTACTTAGATCCAAATGTGTCATTTAGTTGCCTTTCCCTCCCACATTTCTTTTTTATTTAATACAATATTTTAATTGAAGGGGAAATTGTATTTTAAAAAGGTAATATTAATTACTTTAATTGAATTGCAAAACTCTGAACTGAAGTCCACTTTAATCTCATAGAAAACATTTTGTCAATGATTGCCTCTCATTCACATGAGATAGCAGTACATCTTTGAATAAGTATATATGTTCAAATGAAGCCCAGAAGGAAATATTTTGGAGTTTTATTAGAGGATGTGTTAAAAGAGAAGCAGCAATAGCAAGATATCCACAGAGTCTTTTGAGTTAAATTTAATTGAATATTCAAAATTTGAGTGCACAATTTTATCCAGAAATTAGCAATTCAAGGATAATTGTTCAGATTGCTGTCTTTTGGCCTGCATTTCTTCCCCCCCCCCCCTACTACAAGTATTTTTGTTAGTTTCTTAGTCAAAGGGAAACAAAGACAAGATGATGAAAATGATATAATTATAAAACTTTAAAATGACAAAATTATGTGTTTTAGCCTGCATGTAGAGGGCTCAGCCTGCTATTATTAGCATGAGTTTGCATGAATATTTTTTCATTGAAATAGTGACTGTCTTCAGTGGTTACCTTCGGATTTCCTCCATACTTTTTATTTTCTTTTAGGTTAAATAAATGAGAAATGACTGTATTAAAGATATGGCAGTTCTTCCTCCTAACCTTCATTGATAGACTCACTGTATCATCCAGACTTCCAATTATTGTTTGCATTGAATTTTTTTTTAATTAGCCAGCTCAACAGTTCTTCATATAAAATGAATTTATAGCTCTGATAACACTGGGGACTATCAGATCATAGAATTGCCTTGTACAAGCAACCGTAGCAAAGAAACCCAATACACCATAGAAATTGATTTCTCTCTCTCTCTCTCTCTCTCTCTCTCTCTCTCTCTCTCTCTCTCTCTCTCATGACATTCTGGAGTGAGTGATCCCAACTGGAGGGGCAGCTCTATGTTGAGTGGTCATTCAGCAGCCCAGGTTATTTCTCTTAACTCTCCTTAGGGAGTTATCCTCATCTGTGTGGTTGAAACTGGATCAAAGTCAGCTCCACATCCCAGTGTGTGGTTAGAAGAGAGGAAGTGGAAGGCAAGTAACTTCCCTTGAGCACAAGCTTTCTTCTATATAGGGCACTGAGGAGCATTAGAGAGAAATTGTGGACACATCTAGTTGCATAGAAGACTGGAAAATGGCACTGGCTTGCCACTCTGTGGAAGAAGAGGGGATTTTAGAGAACCTTAACAACCTATGAAAGACCAAGAAAGAGGGCTCTTATCCTGGTATAATCATACAAAGCATCCTAGATAGGATAACATAGGATACATATCCTTCTCTCTCACTTTCCCTCCATAAGTATTTGTTCAGGACGAAGCACATGTAAGTGGAGGTATATTATGCCAAAAATTGTGTCTCTTTAGAAAGTTGTATCCTGACTTAGTATGTTTTAAAAATAATCTGAATAATGTCATTTTGATCCTACTGTTAACTTAGTATGTTCAGAGTTTGCCTGGAATTATCTTTTCAGAAATTTTGAATTCAAAATTCAATGTTAAAGCTTTTAAATGATTTTTCTTTAAATTAAAATAGGTTCCTCAACTTCATTCCTGTTGATATATGAGACTGGATATTTTTTATGGTGGAGGGAGCTGTCCTGTATGTCACAGATATTCAGAAGCATCCTACCATGGCCTCTTCACTCATGACAACCAAAAAAGGTCTCCTCATTAGGGAAAAATGTTGCCCCAACATGTTGCCCTACTTGGGAAACACTGCTTTAAAGCAACACTGGTCAAAGAAATGCTGCTTTTAAAAATGGTTGCTAGAATGAATGTAAGAACTCAAAGTTGATTCAAGTATGTCACATTATGATACAGTGATTTTCTTGTGAAACTTTGACTCTTTAAGACTAAAAGTTAACCTGAAAATGTGCCTTTAGCAAATTCCATGATCCTTTTGAAACATGCCACATATTTTACTATTTAAAATTACACTCTAGTTTTTTTTTTATGCAGAACTTATTTTTTTTCCTTTTCTTTCTTTTTTTTTTTTTCCATACAGTATTGAGGATTGAACCCTAAACCTCATGCATGCCATGCAAGTGCTCTATCACTGAGCAACAGTCCCAGCCCCTAAATATCTTATTTTTCAAATTGAAAAGTCTTTTATGGTTCATGGCTCAGTGCTGGAATCTTGACATAAAACAGAGGCAGTCTATTTTTGCAGGGCTGGGGATTGAACCCAGAACTTCGTGGGTGCTAGGCAAGTGCTCTACCACTGAGCTACATCTCCAGCCCCAAAGGGATATCTCTTTAAGTAGAAGAATGCTTTCACTTTAATTTTCAAAATAGCTACTGGATTGTGTGTTTCTCATATGTCACGTCTGCTAAATATAAGTAAAACATGCAGCCTTTTGTATTTCAAAATTCTCCTAGGAATGCAGACAGTTGATTGACCAAGACATACGCCTTTTTTATGCTGTTCATTTTAATGAATGAATGAATGAATTTGCTGAGCTGAGCTCATGAAAA